GCACTTATATCACTCCCTGCAAGAGCAGTAGAGCTGGTCGGTCATGTATGGATTTTTAAAGAAGAATGCGTTAGGATAGGGTTTTATGCCATCCAACTGCTGGTAACCTGTATGGAGGAGTTTGTCAGACCCTGTTTAAAGGCCAAGGATTTTCTCGCCAAATTAAGGTTTGGTTAAGTTAAAACTCCAGCGTAGCTGCTGAACAATTCTAAAATTATCCTGGGCACGATTTTGAAGTTCTTGACAAGTGATACAAATGCCTCTTGATGACTGGGTATTGTATGATGAAATGCTTTCTATTAGTCATTACTCGTAGTACTAGTATATATCAGACTCAAAAGAGGGTTTTATCACTCATTAATAGCATCAGTTATTTCATCTATTTTATACTAATGCTATAGATAAAGGAAATACTTTTCTTAAGCTAAGTTATTATTTAATAAATCGCTCTAACTAGTTAGTTAGTTAGGCTTTTTATCAACTGGGTGTTTTCCAGAAGTCCACCACATAACTACTGAACCCGTGCCATGGCTCAAGCGCAACTATTTCCATGCAGGGAACCCAAGCCCTGTGGACACAAAAATCCTAAGGCGGAAAAAGCAAGCAGGCGAGAGTCAACACGCAGCTAGCCGGCGACCAGGCAAACTAGCTATTCTGTACAGTGTAATAAGTTTGAAACCCCCCCCTGGCCGCCGAGATTACACTAACCATATAATGTTAATATCTATATGCTGCTTTTTGCAAAGATCTTTATATTAATATTTTGTATACCATCCTTCTGCCTCTATAACTGCCTTCACTCGATGAGGCATTGTGGCAGAAAGATTATATAGAATGCTATCATCAATTGCATTCCATGCCTCCTTAGCTGCCTCTATTATAAAACTCTTTTTGTAGCTACTGTATCTGATGCATGCTCCAGCTCTGGATGCAGCTTATAGATCTCCTGCTTCAACAGTGCCCAAAGATTCTCTATAGGATTCAAATCTGGAGAATATGGAGGCCAAGGCATGATCTCTATATTCATCTCCTCAAGAACCTCCCTAACTATGTGAGCTGTATGAACCCTGGCTCCATCATGCATGAATATATCCCCCTCTCTCACAAATTCAGGTAAAAAGGCCCTATACATCCTTTATCACTCTTGAAGAAAGGGGTAAATAGTATGATAAAAGCAGCATTCCAACATAACTGGGTTTGGGTTAGTGATATCTTGGCATCACAGGTGTGGCAAAGGGGGGGTTTCAAACTTAATACCTGACACTGTAGCACCAGTACGGAGTAGTCCCTTGCTACTCCGCACGCACACACCACGCACACACCAAGGCCGCAGAGCAGCTTCCTTGTCTGGAAACGAGGCTCAAGTAGCGTGCTTTTTCTGCCACGCAATCGATGGCTGCTCATTGGCTGGCCAACTCAGGGCGGTGGGCTGCCAAACGCGAACTGTTGCCTCGTTCCAACTTCTTGTCTGTCTCAACGACAAGCTGGAGATGAAGTCCTAAGCGATGAGCTACCCTGGTTGGTAGTCTCTTGTGCATCTGAAAAGCGAACTTCCCAAGGGCGATGATTGGATATCGATTCGCAACGGAGTGCGGTCATAGTTCGCCGGCTGGATTTCCATCCGAGCAAAGGATCCAAGCGGGGTTTTGGAACGTGGTTCGTGGTTCCCCCCCATTCACGAAACTTTGGGGCTATTCCACAGGAACCAAAGGTTCAACTTCGCAGCACTGCCTCTGCGCTGGGGAGCGAAGTCGTTTTCTCTCCCGAGGGCAATTATCCGAAGTGAGCAGCTCTCGTCGCAATAACGGTCACGTTAGGGCGAGATCCATTCACATGGACGGGAGAGAGTCAGGGCCAGAAATTCAAAGACGCCGCAGAATCGCAAGGGGCTAGCTACAAGAAGCAAAAGATCAGGGTAACAAAGTGGTCTCGCCACATGATACATTAGTGCAAACTCCAGAATGCTAGTGTTTTGTGCATGTCCTGCCACATTGTAACCGGTAGTCATAATATATTTTTTGCACTCCTCAATGAAGATGGGTGCTGACGCCTGCTGGCGGTGGATTTGGGGAGGGGACCGAGGAGATTGAGCAAACCGATTGCATCTCAAATTATATTCTTCCTCAATTTGAAACGCTCAAAGTCATCCTGCCAGTCGCCGTCTTCCCCCCCCCGGCCCAAGGTCTAACCTCAGGGTCCCTACAGGCTTGGCGATTGATGGTCGTTCTCCGCTTTTCGAGAGAAGCGAACGAGCAGGGTCTGGCTGGTGGGCGAGCCCTCTGTCGCCACTTTGGGATGAGGAGTCGTGCAAAATCTCTGTCTGTCTTTGCCTCGGCCCACTCGCGATGTTAAGTCGTAGGAGACATTGTCATGGTGCTGAGGGATGGTAATTCAGCGGACGCAACGACGAAAGGTAGCTATGTCTTCCTCGCTCGCTGCACCCAGCATCCGAGTCCTAGGGCGCAGATCCAGACCAGACTACGAAATACATTTCTCCAGAGATGAAGCCTGAGATCGATTGCTTTGGCCTGGCCCTGCCGCGTTAGTGCTTGCCGGCTGACGCTAAGAGCAACCCATCTATACGGAGTGTTTTTTATCTTTTTCTTTCAACTGCGAGGAGAGCAAAATTATGTATCTTGCAGACTAACTTTCAGACACTCGACTAGCGATTCGCACCGACACTAATCATAATAAGAATATGGCCCAATCCAGTTGTTCTCGCTGGCCCCTATATTCCTTTCCCATTCGTTCCGTTCCTCCTAATCCTCGTCCATCTTAAACCTGGTCAATATCAGTCTATCATTCCCCAATTTGGGTGGGACACCTTGACTCTCGCTGAACCCATCAGCACCAAATCGGGAGGAGATTGCATCTTTTGTCAAGCTTGGTGGAGCTTTGCACTCGATAACTATCGAAAGCGCGTGCTAATGTCCATATAATGGTGGACGATTCCCAACAACGCGCCTAACTGGGCGTGGTTCTTGCGTTTCCGGTGATCGCGGGCTTCTCCCTAGGGTTGCGTCTGTTTGGAAGGAAGGTCTCGCGGTATTCTTTCGGATGGGGTGAGTAAAGCAAGCACCAGTGGAATAGATTTTCGTTGGTAGATGATCGGATTTTTGCTAATTTCATGGTAGATGACTATCTCATTATAATGGCAATGGTTGGTGTTTGACGAGAAGAGCCAGCGTGAAAATAGAAAAGCATGTACTAACAGTGGATGTCTAGGTCTTCAGCATCGTGCATTGCGTTGTCTGTTGGTACTGTGAGTAGATCCAATTCACGTTGGATTTTGGCCTTTTGCTGACTGGAAGCAATGTAGACATCAAGACCAATTATGTTGGAATCCCCTTCGCTGATGTGCCTCCGATGGACAAGCGTCCCCTAGCAGACCTGCAGGTGGCCAGAAAAGTGAGCTTTATCTCTAGAATCGTCCAGGAAGAAATTTGCTAAACCCTTGTGGTAGTGGGCATTTGCGAACCAGGTTATATACACCGTTTGCCTGCCGACTGTCAAAAGCTCGACCCTCATCTTCATGTCTCGGCTCGAGCCCGGGTCCAAGCACGTCGTGCGCTACCTGTGGTCTGTGTTTGCCCTCAACTTAGGCATTCTTGTCATTGCCGAACTCGTCATCATTTTCCAGTGCAAGCCTATCAAGCTCGCTTGGTCTGTGCCGGCACCCGGCATGAATTTCAGCTGTATCGACTACGGAGTTTTTTTCCTGTGGGGCACCATCACTACCATCGTGACAGATTTCCTTGTTCTTGCTGTTCCCTGCCTCATCACCTATAAGTTGCAATTGAAACGGAGACGCAAGATTGCAGTCATGGTCCTCCTCGGTCTCGGAGTGATGTAAGTACTGTCAATGAACTAGTCCCTCAATCTGGAACCATGACTAAACGGTTTGGTGTATGCAGTGTCACGATTGTCAGTTTCTGGCGTCTTGTCCAGTTCATCCAAACCGTGTACACCGGCGTGGACCCTTCCAAGCCGATCGGGAACTTTGGTTTTTCAGCTTCGTCACTTGAAGTTAACATCGCCATCATCTGCGCGTGCGGGCCCGGGATTAAGCCCGTGCTCAAACGCTACGCACCATTCATTCTAGGTACTTCAACCAGTGACACGCGCACACACACCTACGGGAAAACCGGATATGCGACCCACGGAACGCAATTAAAGTCACACATCGAGGACGACGGCATGTTTGAGATGGGTGCCGAGGCGCGACACCAGATCGACGTGCAAGGCGGGTCCACGAACCTTACCCAGACCGACAGATTCGGTTTAGGACCTAGCATATCCGACAGCGACGAGGACCGTATAATGGACAAAACTGGAATTGTGCGCACCACGGATGTATCGATCAACTACCACAACGAGCGAATTCGAAACAGTCCCCGTCCATCGGACCGAGACGGAAAGACCTCCAGTGTGGATAGTCTCGTTTAGGCCGCGCCCCCTCTTCCCTTCTTTATTCCATTCTCCTTTGAAAAGAGACTAGGGGACTTTTGTTCATAACAAGAAGCTGAAGGATCCCTAGGTGTTTTTTTTTTTTTTTTTTTTTTAATTTCTCTCCCTTCCAGAAAATGTGGCAACAATGCTAGCGAAAACTGTCATGAATTACTTCCCGCATTGTATACGACATTTCGCTTAACTTTAACATACGTTGGTGGAATTGATGACCGCGATCCCACGTTATCCTGATATGGCTGGCCAGGAGAGCAGTATCTTCAAGTCGTTTCTGGCAGCGGGCGTTCTTGTAGAGAGCATGATATAAGGGGCCACCCAATGCGTTTTTTATATGCGGCCTCACCGTCGAGGCTCTGAATTATGTCTTCCATCATGGTGATCCGTGTATAGGGATAGCCATGCGCTGTGTATAATCATTGAGTTTGCGGGAGGGGAGAAGGGTGAATAGGAGGCCGTAAGGGCGTTGTTAATCCTGCATCCCATATACTTCTTTTACAATATTAGGACTCGAGAACCCCCCTATTTTCCCTATTTCAATTATCTGAAGTATCGCGTGCATTCGAATCAAGTATTTCCATAATGTCGACTGCACTGACTGAATATCCCGTGACTTTTCTTTGTGCTGAGCCATATTGCTTGTCAACGCGCTCGATTGTCTGAGGAGATCACTGAAGGTCTTCACATATCATGATTACTATTCTGCATTCATTGCAGTGGGATGCTTGAAGTCGGTCTCTAGCTAGCGGCCGGGTTATGACAAATTTCCAGTTAAGTGACAGAACATGATCCAATATGGCTTTAAGCCAGCAAGCAATACATCTCAGAATCGGAGGTAATGACTTTCTCCGTTTGCACTTTGTTTTGGACTTGCCTTGTTTTGGGTTTCCAGAAGCATCTATCGATATTTTCCACATTTGCGATCTATCTCAGGGCCGCTTCGGGCAGGTATGACAACCAGTTCTTGGTAGAGGCGAACCATATTTTCCAAATGATACTCTCGTGCTGATGATAATAGAATATATATATATATATATATATATATAATGAATTAATTATTATTGTTTTAATCAAATTAATTACTGTTCCTTTCACTATTGCGATTATTACTTGTCCGGACCACGATAAAAGTCCCGATTATTGA